GGTGTCGCTTGCGGTCTCCGATAGGGTTTTGCGATATCTTAAAAGACTGTTAGGAATCGATAATTACAGTTGTACGAGACGTAATATAATGTCTTTGGAGAGAGATCCGTAACGAGGCGTCCTCGTTGTAACCGATTATGGACAAGTTGTAAATGGTTTTCTGCATCGGGTATCCCTTCCCCCATTTCCGTTCTCCTCAATTCCGCTGAACGAATACCGAGAGAGAAAGTTATAAAATATAATCTTGTGTAACGTGAAGCAAATGCGATATCTGTATTTTCTGTGCAACCTCTCATTCACCTCCCGTTAATTGTTAATGAAAAAAGCACACTTGGAGTTTTCGAAGTGGCCGCTTTTTATAAATATGCGTGCGACGATCAGTCTTATCCGAAACACGCGTGGAGATAATTTTCAAGCCCCGAAATGCACGATAAATGGCATTTGCTTCACCGAACAAGTGCTAGATGGCGCCACGCAAAATGTACATAGTTTCGAAGATGAGCGCTGCTTCCACAGAATTACGATCGCGCTTCTTTCCCTGATAAAATTACTAAAATAAAACAAAATGTTGGGATCCACTTCACCACGGACCCGTTTTAGTGCAAAGCATAGAACACGTAGTTATTGGACACATCAGCTGTGGAATCTCTTCATATTGAACACAATTTATGACAAATCTCGTTTTCCTAGAGATATATATGCCTGCTACCGGGATATCCACGACATGAGCGTAAGAATATATTAATGAAACCCAAAGTCCCATCTTAGACCAGAGGCAAGGTTGAGTGAGTATAACATCCTCAGTAATCGACGTAGTTCTTTGCAGAAAATTACTAGGTATTTTACGTTACAAATTTCATACGTGATGTAAATTACATGAATGGGACTTTATGTTCCTGCAGTTCCTATTCCTGATATTCTTAAGATTCAAAACTTTCCATGCAATGTATGAAAACGGAGATGAGTTGGGAGATTGCTCACGGGCAGGGTCGAGTCCTGTGCTGCCCCCCGGTGGAAGATGTGGGCGGCTAATGCACTTGCTACCTGATACACCCAATGACGTCCCAATTCAAGAATCCTCCTCATCTCTGCTCCCAACTCATCTCTGTGATAACAAACATCATTTAACATCTTTTAACATCTCTTACCAACAAGTCTAGCAATATCTGCAGCGATGAACTATCCATGACTTGAAAAAAATAAAAGATCCTGTTGTTATCCACCTAAACCTGGAAAGGGGCACAAAAGAACATGCGAGACAGGACATTGAAAAAAATCCAGGAAGTCTGAGATCAGACGGCGAATATGTTACTAAAAGTCAAGGATATTAATTGGACTTCGATTTCGTTAAATTGAGTGAACTAGTATTTTTCATATCTCTATGTACGCATTATCCATAAATTTTACATATCTCAATGCAAGCAATATCCATCAATTCTTAAAATCTCTATGTAAGCAATATCCATACATTTTTCATATCTCTATGAATGCAATATCCATAAATTTTTCATATCACTATGTACGCAATATCCATAAATACAAACTCGACAAATTATAATCAAAATGACTGTTCGCCGTCTCATCCCCGTCAATTCTGACGGAATGACATAGAACAAAATTAGAGGGACAGCGTGGCCAAAAAAAATGATGATTGTCCGTTCGAAAGAACGGAAGACCATCGTAGTTGCCCTCTTCTTAAGGGGCCGCTTCGGCATATAGCCTCTTCGACTCTTGCAGTCTCTTCGGGCAGAGCCCCCTACGTCTCGAACGCTTGGCAATCCCCTGATTTATCGGATTAATAAAAAAAAAAATCACTCGCGGAGAGATCCAAAAGCTAGCAAAACGGCGACCTGCGATCTGAGGATGCGCAGTTCGAGCGTATTGCACATTTATTCGATTCCCAAGCGCGGTCTAATTAATTTTATTGCTGAAAGAAAATTGATACAATCGCGGATATATCACAGGGTGGACATCCTCCGCGCTTCCGGAAGCGCGGACGATGGAAAATTACCCCAGGTTCAGGATCTCCTCCCAAACCCCCAGGAAGAGATCCCGCCCTGGCCCTGCCTGCTTACATCTAGACATTCACTCAAAACAACTGACCTACCTCCCTAGCTATATCTAAAAGAAAAAACACATTCGTTCCAACACACTCACTCCACGGTTCTCTCTCATTCCGCCCGGGGACAAAAAGCCTAATCCTAGGGACAGCATCCCGGGATGCCTCCGACCCCCGAGCTCAGTTCTCACACTCATACATTCCGATTGCCATCGCCAGTTGGATGAAAGAAAAATTAAATTTGTTCACGGAATCGAAACGCGGATGGCAATCGAAGGGATTCGCGAAGTTTCGGTTTACCACGTCTCCTGGCCCCGACCCGATCGACTCGCTCCTGGAGGAGACGAAGGGTGGAGGCCAGCACAGAACGCGGCCACAAGAAAAAGCACCTACCGTCGTAGAGGCTGAAAAAATCCTAAGCTGATTAATTTATACATCGTTAAAACGAGCTACTGACTCTACTCGACATCGATATTTCATCATTTCTCCAAGAATGAAAGGCCAAGCCCAGCACGCACTACGGCCCCAGGGTAGTGGAAGGCTTGGCCAAAAACAGCTGAAAATCCTGAAACGTTCCCCTCGTCGAGGCGGCGACTCTAAATCGATCCGCAGGCACATCGAAGTGCCACCTCGACTCGAGGTCGGCTCCTCGCGAGATCCTCCTCCCAAGTCTTTTTATAATCATCCGAAGAAATATCGCGAAACCGATGGCCCCGAAGTCGGAGGGTCGTCCGACTTCCTGGCGCATGATAAAGAAACGCGAAACGTAATCTATCGCGGATCCAGGAGAAAGCTATTCCTAGTCTAAATCAACATACAAGAAATAAACAAAGTCCACGCGGTCACTCGCGAGTCGGCGAGAGGTCACATCCCGTCCACTCGCGGTCCCTCAAACAAATCGTAACATACAACCGATCCCCGTGCCGATACGGACCTTTCGTCCTGCGACATGAAGGGATCGGAGGAAGGAAACGTTGAGACTTACCAACGGGACGATACGTCATTTTCTGGCGGTACTCCCCCAGGAGATCCCTCCGCAGAGACCTGGGGTTTCTGGCCTCCTCTCCATCTGCCTCTCTTCGACGTTGGCTCTGACTGCATTCCACCTTCGTGTCCGCTTGCACTGCTTTCGCTGCATTCGCTGGATACGCTGGCTACGCTGGATCCGCTGGATACGCTGGATACGCTGGATACGCTGGATACGCTGGATACGCTGGATACGCTGCATGCTTCTACTGCCTTTGTTGAATTCCTCTTTTTTCGTTGAACGATATTTAGTCCATGGCACTCGCGGACCGTGATCACTGTCGCGTCCTAACCTCATTGTCTTCGCGTCGGTCCGGAAACTGTGCGTACACCCCACCTCGTCATCTACGAAGCGTCCCTTGCACCTTGTTACGATCTGTGGATGCCGTCGATTGAGAATTATAGAACCATGTGGATATAAATGTCTATCGTGGTCCCTCGCGCCCCCCGCCACTTTCTTAATTTTCGACGACGTCTTATCGCGGCAAAATTTCAGGAGCAACTGGCGATTCGCCGGCCGGACCGCGATCCCCGGCCGTGACCGACTCCGTGATTGGCCGACGTCACCGGCCCAATCACGGTCTATTATCGGGCCGGTGACGGTGCGAACTGCGTCCACGGTAGCTTGATGGGGAAGGTTGTTCCGTTTAAATTGATTTCTCGAGCTAGTGGCTGCGGTTTTTTTCGGAGGAGACATAGGGTTTGGAGTTTTTGTGAGGAGTTCATCACTTTTTCAGCTTGATGGAGAAGGTTGTTCTGCTTAAATTGATCTCTCGAGCTAGTGGCTGCGATTTTTTTCGGAGGAGATAAAGGGTTTTGGAGTTTTTGTTAGGAGTTCTTCACTTTTTCAGCCGGTTCTCCGGCTGCCCAGAGTTGCAACAGGTGGCAAGTGCATCAGCCGTCTGCATCCTCCACCGGAGGTCGCACAGGACGCGGTCGCTCGATCCTTCCCGTGAATCTCTCAACTCATCTCTGATTTGGCAGAGATGAGTTGGGAGATTGCCATAATGGTAAGCCACCACCGTCAACTGCCGCATGGTATTACCATCACGAATACGTGAGCCGCCAAAGGCAACTGGTAGATGGCACAGCCATCGCGAGTGCGCGAGCCCCTAGAGTTCGAAAATTCTCGGTAACATTAAATTGGAGAAGGTAACTGTGAAACGTACCGTAAGTTACCGGGAACATTGAGATTTAAGAGAACGTTAATTTTGTTATTTATACTTTTTTTTATGTAGGTTATTTAGGTTTCTTCGTTTAAATTTTGTTATTTATACTTTTTTTTATTTAGGTTATTTAGGTTTCTTCGTTTAAATAACTTTTTTTTTCAATCAACTTCAAAGTTCAACCTAAAGAGTAATAATTACTATTAGAAAATATTGATTATAGGGTCGTATTTACCTCCAGCTAAAAATATTCACGTATCTACAACTTCACGGAAAATTCCATGCGACTTGTTTGAAATGAACTAATATTTCATTCTGCGACGAAGCGAATGGGAGGTTTTGATTGGCTACGGAGAATGTACAACGGAAATTCCCCTCTACGATGTTTCTCTATAGCTAATCGAAACCTCTCGTTCGAACTGTTGAAAAATTCAAATTCTCATAATTTCTCGATAAAAAAGCCTTTGGAGAAATTACCGATAAGTTACCAGGAATTTCTCTTCGTTTCTGACGTAACTTACTGGATTTAGAACTCTACGAGCCCCTACCAGAAATTCGTTGCGCCGCCCTTGGGGGCAAAAAACGGTGAAAGTAAACGTACGAAACCAGAGGGCAGCACACGATGCGATCGCGCGACCCTGCCCGTGAGCAATCTCCCAACTCATCCCTGCTTCACACATTGGCAACGCCGTTACTGGATCTAGATCCGATAAATCCCGGTTTTAGCAGTACGATGGAGACGGCGTCAGTGTCTCCGATGATACTTCATCCGATGATTTCAATACCGCCTTTTATACTGTTCTATTGCATCAAAAAACGGCATTACAATTGATTACAATAGAGATCAGTGTTAAGAAGGGCACACGAAGGTTTCTGGGATTGCATGTTAATTTATGATGAAGAGGCTTTAGGTTTTTTTTTCAATAACTCCAACGTGGTAGCTCTGAACGGCACTCGGCGTTGTCAGGGCTGTTGAGAAAAGGAAAAACGGAAAGAAATGGCGGACGAGAACGAGGATCAGTGGTTATATGGCGATTCCGCGGATGGGAAGGAATTATCCGTGCCGAAAGTCCAACCCAATCCCGAAGAAAATGACACCGCCCTTGAAAATCAGGAGGGTTCTCCACCCCAGGAACGAAACGAAGTGGACGGCGCCGAGGAAGCGCCACCCGGGGTATTTGGGAAACATAACCTATATCTACTAATATTACTGAATTCACGCTGATATTCCTACCGGCATTGTCAGATTAATTGTTAAATATTGATAAACGGCTTTACAAACACGTTTACGACAGTACCCAAGCCAATCTTTGTTTATTTGCAAATACTGATGACCTATCAATTTATGTACGATCGTTATGAAAGTGCATAATAGTTTGGTCGCTTGCAACGCTGGTCAATAGATATGCAAACACGTGTGAAAGGATAGCTGAACCAGTCTTTGTTCATTCACATCTTTTTATATTTATCAATTGATATGCAGTCGTTATATATTAGCAAAGTTATATACTAGGTAAATACAAAGCTACGATTATCGCAGAGTTGAGTTGATTTAAATGATTTGATTAAAATGATGATTGAAATTATAGAATGTAATCAATTGATTTTTTACTTTTAGAGATCAAGTTTTTTTAACGGTCCGATTGGTACATGGCGAGTTCGTGGAATAGACGCTATCATGTTAGAAATTACACCGTGTGAGACCACGATCAAAGGATTCGGAAGTCTCCATAGGAGCCCAGCATGATAGACATTTGATGCCTGATAAATAGTATGTTATCGAATGGATCGTGGCACTGTAATCATTTCCATCTCTTTTAATCTTGCGATGATGTACAGCGGATTGCATTCTTTCTTTATTTTACTTACAGTACCTGCCTTTCTATATGCGTCTTTCTTCCTCCCATATGGGAGATTCCGTTGACTAAAGCGCAATTTCTCTTTTATTCCTACTTCTGATTTGTTAGCTAATTTTTTGAGCATCGCATACTAACGTAGGATCTGGGCTTACATGGAACTTCTGAATTCTTAGCAATAATACCCATTACAACCAGCAGAGTGCGCTTTGACTCTGTTATAGCACATCGTTAGCACTAATCATTGATCTTTAAAATAAAATCAACGATTTTTCATTTTTTTTAATTCCTGATTTTTATCAATTTTGTTCTGCAGACGCGTTTACTAGAGTAGTTGAACCAGTCTTTGTTTATTCACAAATTTTTATTTCTGTCAATTTTTGTACAGCCGTTATGAAACGGCTCGGTAAGTTAATCGTACATATTGGATCTTCTCGATCTTAAATCGTATACATTGGTATTTCACGTGTTGTTTTTCTACTAAGATCCTGAACAGATTTATGTTACGCATTCTATTATATAACTTTCAAAAAATAAAAATTTGTTTATTTCACTTTTCAAAAATATATGAATTCAATATGCATGGAGCAAAAAATTACATAGCGGAACGTACGTTTTTTTAACGATTTTTCAGTATTTAACATTTTAAACGCATTTTTCTTAAAACGACATATTTTCATACAGCATAGGTAAAATTGAAGAGTGAGGCATGGACCAATCTGAAATTTTAGGAGCTTCATTTCATATAAAACAATAGTATTACTCTTTTTTTGGATTATTTAAGAGCAGTTTAATAAACACCAAAAAAAATGACTGTATATGGTGGATTTACTCAGACAATACTCTATAAGAATAGCTTAATTTATCAGTCGTTAAAGTAGAGCGATCCCTTAATTGTACCTCGTAACATGAATTTGATAGATAGTTAAAAAAAAAGAAGTAAACTTGTTTCGCTTTTACCGACTCCGATAACATATTGTCCATCACGAAGTAGTATAAGGACATACAATGACATGTATTGAAATCGTTCCCATTGTAAGGGTCCAAGATCTTCAAATTTTTTCCGATCCATGGCTGAGAGCTCCTCGATGAAATTTTGTAATAAAAAATTATTGTCCGCTAGCGTGTTTGCAAGTCTTTGTCACATTGAAAACATCACATTTTGTATATCATCCGCGAATTATCGTTCTGCTTTGCGTACCTTAATTGCAAAATTAAAATCATTTTATACTTATAACAACTTACATCGATACTAAATATGTTTTGGGCATGTTTGGTTATTGGAGTTCCCTCATTTTCCGCAAGTAGCGCTCACATCGTTAGATCAGGGAAAATCTGAGAACCTGGGATCACTTTCTGCGTAACCGACCTTTGGCGTTATATCTCTTTATACCACTTGATATTTTCCATTTAGGTGATCGACGACCCACCACCTCCAGGAGTAGATGGCGACATGCAGCCAGAGAACGACGGCAAGGAGCCATACAACTCCGAGACTGCCGAAAACGGAGGGAAGGATGCTTCCAGTCAAGAGGACGGCGAAGCAGCCAGTGACTCCGACTCGGAGGACGACATCCACGTCGTGATCGGCGACATAAAGTCAGCCCCTGCTTACGGCAGCTTAAATATCAAACGCGGGGGCTTGTTGACCAATGCTAGTGGAGTGCCGGACAAGCTGAACAAGCAGCCTGGAAAGTTCAGTATAGACGAGTTTGAAACAATCGGGGTGATCAATGGAATGCCAGCGCATGAATTTAATCTCGATCAGTTGGAGGACAAACCGTGGAGACAGCCTGGCGCTGATATCACCGACTACTTCAACTATGGCTTCAACGAGGAAACTTGGAGAGCCTATTGCGAGCGACAAAAGCGAATGAGAAGCGAATCTGGAGTAGGTTTGATCCTAAATGCCGGGGGCGGGGGCGGCAGCAACCCGGGTGGCGGGATGAGAGTTCCCCAGGTCGCGATTACGAACGATAACAGCAAGTATTCCGGAATCATGGGCCCAAAGCGAGCGGGACCGCCACCCGGGAGGAAAATGGCTGGGACTATTGACGTCATTGGCAGCTCCGGGCTGGCGTCTCGCAGGAACTTGGACAAGTCACCGCCTAAGGAAAACGTCATTCAAGTGATGACTGCTGACCGAAGGGAGTACTCGAGGAAACCAGGGTTCCCCGATATGAGCGTGCCACCCCCGGGTGCTGGCATGCCTCCTCCGTTCGACATGCCACCTCCTGGGTATCCTGGCGAGCCGGCGCCGTTTTACATTCCAGAACAAGACCCCTATTATCAGAGCTACGAACCCACGCAGGATAGCCAGTGGGGTAACGACCCTGTAAGTAACTAACAAATATTCATTTAAGGGGTTACACCACTTTGATCCACTGAAAAATTACGGTTTTTCAAGAATTTTTTTTTAAGAATTAAAACGTTTTTATCCAAATTAAAGTACAGGAAGGTATTATACTACTATTAAACAAAAAGATGCTTTTTTGTATTTTTTTTTATTTACAAAAATGGCGGCTTGGAAGGCGATTTACCGGAGCGCTGCGAAAATCGATGATCGGGCGGTGGGCATGATAACTCAGTCCAGGTTTAAGCTAGAACAATAAACGAAAAAGAATTAGTTTCTGTAGCCCAGAAGCTAGCGAAATACGTAGCCGTTTTCAAAACTATGCATTTTTTACAAAATGGCATCGATTCGAAAGTAAAGATACGTATTTTGCCCTAAATTTCGTTAAGTAATGTTGCATAAAAAATGCGAATATCAATACATTGAAAAAACCATACGTATTTCGCTGGATAAACATATCACGAATAAAATAAAAAAAAGAATCAAGACGATTGATTGAACATTGGCGGAGCTAGAGTGCCCACCGATTTTTAAAATGCAGGTTTAAGAAAAACGCGTTTACACCTATACACCTGCCCACCGCACGATCACCGATTTTCGCAGTGAGCGAGTTTAATAGTAGTATAATACCTTACTGTACTTCAATTTGGATAAAAACGTTTTAACTCTTAAAAAAAAAATTCTTGAAGAAACCGTAATTTTTCGGTGCGTCAAAGTGGTGTAACCCCTTAAGGTGATATGAAAAGGTCAACCTATATATATTTGAGAGGTCAAATCGTTGGTGAAAGTGTTCTCCGAATTGGGTATACTGATTCATTTCAAAGTTTACTACGTGAATATGGGGCCCTAAAGTAGGTCCTGAAACTCATAAAATTTCATATTTTTTTTTTAATGAAAAATTTATCATGGACTAGAACCAACATGGAGTGATCTGTGGACGTTTTCGATGTTTTACGCTTCTTGGAGGCTTAGAATCGAAAATGAAAAGTTTCAGGACCTATCTCGAACAATTTAGAATACCATAGAAGTGGAACATTAGAGTCAGATAGGAAAATATGGAACATACTTTTAGGAACGATTGCAAGAGAATGCTGGCTTGTCCCGTGACTAACGTGGTTTTAGAGTAAAAATTTAGTTGCAGCTAAACGTCACAGATGGCAGCGTTGGTTCGTTAGAAAATAAAAAGTCATGAATTCACAGGATTTCGATAGTTTTACGTCGATCACCTTGTCAGTACTTTACTGAAATTACATATGTGCCCATAATTATGAAAGTGGTCCAAGTAAAAATTAAAAAAAAATTAGTTTATCAGTTATTTCACGCCATATTATTTCAAACGAAATTAATTCAATGTAATTTCGAAACAAAAAATATATGACTTAGACCACTTTCATAATTATGGGCACGTATAGCTGAGTCTTTCATATCACCTTAAAAGGTCAAAAATACTCACTGATGTACTGAAATTTTGCAGACGTGGCAACCGACAAATCTTGCCATTCCATTGACCGAAGGCGAGGAAGAGAAGGATGCAGGTCCGAAAACGATTCCTACGATGGTTCCGCCGACGTCGATTCCTCCATTGCTGCCACCGCGCGATCAGAGGGAAGGCAGGGAAAGGGACCGAGAGAGAGATCGCGAGAGAGAAGGAGAAGTCATCGGACGAGAACGAGACAGGGAGAGAGATCGCGAGAGAGACCGAGAAAGAGAGTCCAGCACAAGGGACCGAGAAAGGGAGAGGGAGTCCGTTGCCAGAGAGGAAGACAGAGAGAGAGACAGGTCGAGATCACAATATCGACACAAAGAAAGGTAACCGGCACGCAAAGCCAGTGAACAAAAGTGTACTGAGAAATCGGAGATTTAAATATTATGTTATGCTTAACGGCGTTCACCACCAAAGTGGGACGATGACTTCCACCGCTAGATGGCATTAGCATCGGAGGTAACCAAAACGTACTTTCTCGCTCGGATGAGGGAGACGCGACGCATAATGGGCGGTGTTTAGCAACGGGCGAAAAATGTGTGCGTATTTTGCACGTATAGGACTCACACAACGGCTAGACGCCTCTGGACTAGGCGCCGAAATGTGTGTGACCCCCGGCCGCCCGCACACGCCAGTTGCACGCTCCGCCTAGAATCGGCAACGGTTGCCAAGGAATGCCCAAATTCCTCGCGAGAAACTCGAAAATCCTGAAAATGGTGCTCCACGGGAACAACGATTTTGAGCGTATTTTTCAACGAATCGAGCTCAACGGGTGCTCGATTTAAAGATAAAATGTTGACGTGTGTTTATATGGGAGCGATTTTCGATCGAGCATCTCCTTCCTAGGTAAAAGGGCACTGAAATTATGTCGTTGCACTTTTTTATATGAAAATGACCACTTATCGAAAATCGCTCCCATATAAACACAGGTCAACGTTTCATCTTCGATATGAGCACTCGTTAAGCTCGATCGGTTTAGAAATACGTTCGGAATCGTTGTCCCCGTGAGGCCCTGCAAAATCACTGGAGTGGTGAGCGCCCTTAACCGTTTGAGTACCAGAGGTTTTTAAAAAACACGGTCGAAAGAAGCCGAGCAGCGCAATAGCGCTTTCTGAATGGGATGCGAAAAGATCCAAGCGGCGCGATGGCGCTCCTTTTATTCTGTGTCGAAAACTTCGTCTGGAAAGTTAAGCACGTTTCGTTAGATTATGAGTGCGGGGTCAATTGTCGGTGTCGTTTAAATGCACTGAGTTTTTCGACATGAAATCTGAAGAGCGCGAAAGCGGCGCGTCAAACGGTTAATGTGACATGCAAAAGTCATTAAGGTGAAATGAGACCCCCCTCAAATTATGTCGATTCGGATAAGACACTTTTTTTAAGGGTATTGGACCGAACTGTCTAAAACTTTGACATAATTGGTGATGGTCGAAAAATTGTCCTACCACTTTCAAAATTTGGATTTTCGAAAAAACATTTTTTGACAGCCTACCAGAACCAAAATAGCGTCAAGGTCTCATATTTCGATCGGTACACAATTATTGGAGGCCCTGATATGAAAAACGACAATGTCAGGACAGTTGTACTACCATTTAGAACGCTCTGGTAACCGTGAAACTATCATTTAAACGGGATAAATGCAAAAAAAGTGTCGTATGCGCTTCTGTACTAAAACGGTGGTTATACGAAGTCTCGGAGAGAAAATTTAGTTGACACTAAAATCACAGATGGCGCAGGGTGACACTACGGTCAATTAGGCTATCAAAAACCATAAATCCAGGGGATTTCGGGAGTTTTACTTCGATTTCTTTCTAATTATTGTACGGAAACGACATATGGAGTATGCCATTTAGTACAATACCCAATATAATTTGAAAAAGCTGGCAAAACAAATACGAACGTCGGTAACGTAGGTATTTAGAAGAATTCTTTTTACCTACGTCGATCAAATTTCTCAATGTGCTTAACTTCACCTTAACGATTCGTTTTCTCAGGGTGTGCTTTGCCTTTTGTGAAATAAATTTCAGTAATTAATGATTGGTATTTTTTAATCAGGCACAGGCATCGATCGAGGTCACGCTCTCGACGCCACAAATCCAGATCCCGAAGTCCTAGTCGTCGTAAGAAGAAATCCCGACGTTCCGAGAGGGAACGTTCCAAGGAGGAGAGCGAGTGAAACGCAATCTCCATGAAAGATTCATTTCCACGTGGTGAAAAGCCTCGTCGGATGCAAGTGCTCCTGCGAGCCTGAAGAGTGTCTGTGCATTTCCAGTTATCGGAATCGTCCTTGTACTCTCCAGACGTTGATTTTTACTCCCACAGGACATTGATTCATGAAAAAAACACGGACCAGACGGAGAACTGGACACTTTCAGTATTCCCTGACACCTTTCCTTTTCTTCCGTCGATCCATCGGTGCTCTGACAGCGAAATCGAACGATTGGTCAATAATAAGAAGTTAGCTAATAGAAGTTCTACGACTCTTTGGAGATCCTTTGACGCTTCCAGGTGAAATAGAGCGGATTTTATTAGACTATGATTGCAACGGCACATGTATATACGAAGTATTAGATTGGTAAGGGGGAATTATCCTCTCCTAAGTATTGTACAGTCTCAAACGTGGAATCTTGTGCACGGCAGTTTGAATGCAAGCTTGAATCAATTTCTCCAGGTGTGCAGTTACAAATAAAGGCGAACGAAATGTTTTTTGTATAGAAGTGGAAGGTCTTTATAGGTTAGGAACGATATGCGCGTCCTTTCCGAGCTCTACTTATCGCATGGCCGTGAACGCTTTCGATCTTCAATCGCCAGTTTACACGATTTTAGAACACGGCTGAACCCAATGTACAATCCAAGAGAAATACACTTATTAGAAAAAGGAAAATTGTCCGAACGGGAATCGAGATAGTCGCGACTCTCATTTAAAGTTCCCTCCAGCAAATATGGCGGGGAACTCCCAGCGTCGTCGTTTGAGCTTGGAGGAGGGCAAAGAATTAAGAAGTCTCCATAGAAGCCCAGAAGGATACGGACGTTCGATGCTCGATAAATAGTACGTTAGCCAACGGATGGCGGCGCTGTGATCATCTCTGCGTCTCTCTTAATCTTATGGCGATATATAACGAATTGCATTCTTTCTTTATCTTATACACAATACTTGCCTTTCTATAATCGTCACTCTTCCTCTCGTATGTGAGATATCGTCGGCTAACATATGCGATCTCTCTTTTACCCTCACTTATTGGTTGGTTAGTCGTTAATCCGTTTGTTAGCCAATTTTTAGAGCATCAAGCGCTAACATTAGAGTTCGAAAATTCTCGGTAACATTAAATTGGAGAAGGTAACTGTGAAACATACCGTAAGTTACCGGGAACATTGAGAATTTAAGAGAACGTTAATTTTGTTATTTAGCTTTCTTCGTTTAAATAATTCTTTTTTTTTCAATCAACTTCAAAGTTCAAGCTAAAGAGTAATAATTACTATTAGAAAATATTGATTTTAGGGTCGTATTTAATTCCAGCTAAAAATATTCACGTATGTACAACTTCACGGAAAATTCCATGCCATTTGTTTCAAACGAACTGATATTTCATTCTGCGACGAAGCGAATGGGAGGTTTTGATTGGCTACGGAGAACGTACAACGGAAATTCCCCTCTACGATGTTTCTCTATAGCTAATCAAAACCTCTCGTCCGCTCGGTTGAAAAATTCAAATTCTCATAATTTCTCGATAAAAAAGGCTTTGGAGAAATTACCGATAAATTACCGGGAATTCCTCTTCGTTTCTGACGTAACTTACTGGATTTAGAACTCTAGCTAACATAGGTTCTCTAGGCCTATTCTCTAACTCGTAACGACAGCTATCGTTATCGTTAGTCTACCGAAGTGATACCGTAACGACAATACCTATTCTATAACTTTCTTGAAGCGACAAACGTCGTTACTGTAGCGACAAATGTCGTTATGGGTATCGGTAGTTTATCGAGCCCTACAAAACCCTCGCTAAGAACGTAACGAGTAACGTCGAAACGTTAACCAATGGGAATCCAAGAAAACCTCTTCTCTCATTGGTTCTATCGTGGCGTTTAAAACATATACAGAGACTCCCAACCAACAAGTTTGAACTAAACGTAATTTATGAATTTAACCAAACAGCAAGTTCAGTTTTTGTAATTATTGATGTGGGTATTAATTTTGAATAGGTTAAGAAATATAGAAGCAGTAAATTCAAAGGTATGTATAACCTTTGTGTGCATGCAAATGTTTAAGAGTGTGGTTATGTTTATTCAATAAGAAGTTCTTCCTTGTGAAGTTATTTTGTCGGTGCTACGATGTTTTTGTGCATAATGATTATAAACCCGATAAACGTGATCAACCTTTTGTTAGCTACATTTCAATCAATGTATTTAATGGAAACTGAAGTCAATTGACAAGAAACACTATTAAAAGAATCTATTCAAAAGATTCTTATGGACAGTATATTCCGATTTAATTCGCTCGAGATTACTCAAGATTCAGCATTGGATTATCAAGAACCTTTTAAAGCAGAGGAGGTCGAGTATATTGAAAAAGAGTGGAGTGACGAAACAGTGTTACAACCGTCTTCATCGAAAGCCACATGTGCACGAAGCCACAAATTTGTTATTAACTCAGTAATGACAATTTGCATATCCTTGAATGATTGTAGAGAAAGACAATCGACCATCACTGTCTAGAGAGAAGGTTAGACATATATTAGCGTTTTTTCAAGGAAGACGAAAGCGTACCCCGCGATAATAAAATAATAATCAGAAATAGTGACAGCCTCTTAAAATCTATTTTCACAATTACATTAAGTATGATAACGTTATGAGGAGTAGGGGAGTAAAAAATTACGAAATAATACGCATTGTACAAAATTTAATGAACTTACATAAAACTTGAATATTTAGCAGGCTTTGCGAACACTTCTGAAGTGTTACCTGTTAGAGTTTGTTGTTCATTTACACTATTTACATACTATGTACAGTGGCAATTACTTCTAAGCTGCCGAAAACGGCAGTGTTTTAATAATTTGCTTAGATCAAAGTGATCACTCACTCTCCTGCATGATCTCCCATGATCATTCCTGCATGAACTGCTACTTTTTCGTAGTAATTTATGATACGGTAGGAACGCATGTTCGTCCCGATCACTCGACTTTTTCACTTTGATAACGAGAAAAACACGAATATAAATAGATTCAATGATAATTTTGTCAACAGATATAACACTTTTCAACTCTTGGGACAAACATTGGACCCAATGAGTATGGCACGTTGTGTATAGAATTGCATGACTATGCTGCTATCATTCAGATATTATTTGATGTACGATGATTACCCGTTAGGTATTTAATCCCAGATATGTACAAAATATTCGATGATCGTCCATTGGACAGTAATCGAGTATATGGATATTCTACATTTGTAATAAATTCAATCCGTTGAAGACACTGTGAATACCAAAACACGAATCGAGCGAGTCAAATATCCAAAGGATATCTTAAGGTGAAGTGAAACCCGTCGAGGAACTTGATCGACGTCGATAGAGAAGATTTTTCTAAATGCCTACGTTGCCGACGTTCATTTTTATATTGACAGCTGGGTCGAATTATATTGGGTATTGTACCAAATGGCATACTCCACCTGTCGTTTTCGAACAATAAATATCAAGAAATCGAAGTAAAACTCCGGAAATCTTCTGGATTCATGCTTTCTGGGGCCCTAATTGACTGCAGAGGGACCCCCTGCGCCATCTGTGATTTCCAGGTCAATTAAATCTTCACTCCGAGACCTCGTATTCCCATCGCTTTGGCATAGAAGCGCATACAACACTTTTTCTACCTTTATCCCGTTCAAATGCGAGTTTATCGATTACCAGAGTGTTCTAAATTGTCGTCAAATTGTCCTGACACATTCGATTCTCATATCAGAGCCTTCGATAATAGTATATCGATTGAAATATGAGAGCTCGACGTCATTTTGGTTTTGGTCTGGGCTGAGTAAAAAAAATTTGTTTGAAAAATCCAAATTTTCAATGTGTCAGGACAACTCTTAGATGATCATGGGTCATGTATCAAAGTTTCGGACAGTTTGGTCCAATACCCTTAAATAAAAGTGTTGTATTCAAATCGACTGATTTGAAGGGTGTTTCACTTCACCTTAATAATAACGCAGATTCGACCCTGAGCGTCTCAACCGACATTTAAATTTGCATTTACTGGGTTTGGACCCGATAAATACCCGGATTTCGAGTACGATGGAGACGTAGTCACTGAACGTGTTCGATAGGTCAGTGCAGTGCACCCGGTGCCAGGGTATCGTGTTCAGTTTGTCAGTGTCGGATTGACGGTACAACTACTCTGCACTTATTTCGTTACACTTTTACCACTATCGCAGGGAGCAAGTGTAACAACAGTGTAATATGGCGGCGCTCATGGATGATTAATGTCAGCATGGAGAAGACTAGAGACCAGGAGGACGAACTTCCTAGGGTCCCTTATGAGAGCTCGTATCCCCGAAAAAGGATACAGATAATTTGAAATTTTCTCTGCAGATAGCAGCGTTATCGCAAAAGGACCAACATGGAGTACGCAATCTTTTGAATGTTAGAAAACACGGGACACCTATCAAATTGAAAACGCGGAAAACTTCACGTTCTACTACCTAAACCAAAACTTTTTTAATTACAGTACTCACATATGTCATAAATAAATGCGTATAAAAATATTTTATAGATAAAATATACATTTTATCTTATATTTTAAGTATATTTTATCTTCGTTTATTTGGACAATGTAATCGCATTGCAATTGTCTGTAAATCCATGCCCACGCTTTATTCAAGTAGTGGTCCTCAAGCGAATGTGACGTCGCCTATCAAAGGAAGATCTTTACCCGTTTTTGCGGAAGCTATTCCGCAAAAACCAATAAATACTTTTAAAAAAAACTATAAATACTTCTAAAGCATTGTATTCGTCCTCTTGGTCTCTAATCTCCATGTTACATACATTCGGCGCGACGAGTCGAGTCAGTAGCAAATTGGAGAGCAAAACAATTGGAATATTCGATTACTCGAATAAACAAATATGGCGCAATTTGTATCTCGGTACAAGTAACTCGGTTTCGCTCTTCCGCTCGTAACTCGCTCACGCCCTTACCCTCGTAACTTGCATTCGTTTGTACCAATAACTCGAGTTACAATAAAAATGACTCGAGTTGACTCGAATACCCGTTTGACTCGAGTTTAACGAGTTAAAATGCTCGACTCGTCACATCACTGTTCTTCACGCAACATTATTGGCGTCCGGTTTGAAGCTCTGAAAGACGTTCTGACCGACAGACTGGGGCCCTTGGGGTGGCCTGAGGGGTTTGCTGGGCGCAGCCAGCAGCTTGCTCCACGCCCTGCAGGTCTTCCCCGACCAGACCCACATCCCCGAAGTGACGCCGACGACCAGCGACAGGAACAGCCTGAGCAGCGCCACTTCCAGGCCGGCTGCCCGATACACCGGGCCTGGCACGCAGTTCTGCACGGATCGGCAGTCCAGGGCCGCCAGCAGAGCCAGAGTGCGCCATCTGGGTCGAACCGAAGACTCGTGGAGAGCACAGGCCAGTCCACCGAATGCTGGCAAGGCGTAGAGCAGAGCGAAGATCCCCAGTCTGGTCATGAGTCTCTCCAGCTTGGTCGCGCTGCGACCTGCTGATCTGACTGCCTTCCGCACGCGAACCAGCGCCAGCCCGGCCACTGCGGCGAATATGCAACCAAGGAGAAGAAGCGTAGCATGAGGGAGAACCTCCAGCCAGATCGCCGACTCGTCCGATATCTGGCAGAGCCCAGTCAGCTCGTCGGCCGCAACGCTCCTCGAGATCAGGGTGCCTGGGGATTAGAGACGACTAGTTAGAGTTCCGCTCATTTTTGGGGATTTGTAGGGGGGTTTTAGCGAGGGGGTATTCGCTCGGAAGTCGATGGGTTGAATAAATGCGCGGGAAGTTATCGGCGGTCAGCAGGACTGGGAGTCCCCAAGAGGTGGCGTGCAAATAAGGAGCCACATTGTGCAGTGCTTCGCTACGTTTCGCACAACTAAATATCTCTATGAGTAGGAAGCAATGGGTTGAATAGATGCGCAGAAAGTTACCGGCTGAAAGCAGGACTGGGAGTTCCCAAGAGGTGGCGTATAGATAAGGAGCCACATTGTGCAGTGCTTCGAAGGGCCGCGAGTGCTTAGCGAAGGGCTATTCACTCGGAAGTCGATGGGTTGAATAAATGCGCGGGAAGTTATCGGCGGTCAGCAGGACTGGGAGTCCCAAGAGGTGGCGTGTAGATAAGGAGCCACATTGTGCAGTGCTTCGCTACGTTTTGCACAACCCGACATCTTTATGAGTAGGAAGCAATGGGTTGAATAGATGCGCAAAAAGTTATCGGCGGTCAGCAGGACTGGGAGTCCCCAAGAGGTGGCGTATAGATAAGGAGCCACATTGTGCAGTGCTTCGAAGGGCCGCGAGTGCTTAGCGAAGGGCTATTCACTCGGAAGTCGATGGGTTGAATAAATGCGCGGGAAGTTATCGGCGGTCAGCAGGACTGGGAGTCCCTAAGAAGTGGCGTGCAGATAAGGAGCCACATTGTGCAGTGCTTCGCTACGTTTTGCACAACCCGACATCTCTATGAGTAGGAAGTAATGGGTTGAATAGATGCGCAGAACGTTATCGGCGGTCAGCAGGACTGGGAGTCCCCAAGAGGTGGCGTGCAGATTAGGAGCCACATTGTGCAGTGCTTCGCTACGTTTCGCACAACCAAATATCTCTATGAGTAGGAAGCAATGGGTTGAATAGATGCGCAGAAAGTTACCGGCTGAAAGCAGGACTGGGAGTCCCCAAGCGGTGGCGTGTAGATAAGGCGCCATATTGTGCAGTGCTTCGCTACTCCACTCGTTCCTGGCGCTGAGGAGCCAGCAGCCACACAAGACTGCCCACCAAGTGTTGCTGGCCAGTCCCAAATAGTGTCTCGCGAGCCACCAAATCGTGCAAGGGATACTTCTCAGACCGTCATGGACCTAAAAGAGACCTTCTTTTAATCCTATGAATTCCCCGATTAACGAAATGAATATTAATATTTTTTTCCAACGTTACTTGGAGAAGAACAGAAAATAATGCTACGAGGGTCATATCTTTGCCGGCCCAAGTAGGTTTTTGACTGTTTGCCGTAATTCAGTTGAAAATTGAAATATTTGCTCATCAGATAGTATAAGAAGATTCAACGCCAAGGATCGAAAACGTCCCCACTTAAGGTGAAGTGAAACCCCCTTCAAATCAGTCGATTCGAATACAACACTTTTTTTTTAAGGGTATAGACCAAACTGTCCGAAACTTTGACACATCTTTGATCATCTAAGAATTGTTCTGACATATTCAAAATTTGGTTTTTGGACAACATTTTGTAACTCAGTCCAGACCGGAACCAAAATGGCGTCGAGCTCACATATTTCAATCAATATACAATTATCAAAGGCTCTGATATGAGAAACAAAAGGGTCAGGACAATTTTACGACAATTTAGAACACTCTGGTAATCGATAAACTCGCATTTGAACGGGATAAAGGCAGAAAAAGTGTTGTACGCGCTTCTATGCCAAAGCGATGGGAATGCGAGGTCTCGGAGTGAAGGTTTAATTGATCTGGAAATCACAGATGGCGCAGGGGGCCCCTCTGCAGTCAATTAGGGCCCCAGAAAGCATGAATCCAGAGGATTTCTGGAGTTTTACTTCGATTTCTTTATAATTACTGTACGAAAACGACAGATGGAGTATGCTATTTGGTACAATATCCAATATAATTTGACACAGCTGTCGATATAAAAACGAACGTCGGCAACGTAGGCATTTAGAAAAATCTTCTTTATTGACGTCGACTAAGTTCCTCGACGTGTTTCACTTCACCTTAAGGGGCCCAAGATTTTCAGATTTTTCCGATCTAGTGCCGAGAACGCCTCCACTATGAAATTTTGCAATTAAAGATTATCCTCTGCTAGTTTTTATCACGGTAAAAACATCACATTTTGTATATTATACGCGGATTATCGTTCTACTTTGCGTACCTTAATTGCAAAGTTAAAAGTATTTTACGGAATTTACATCGATAGGAAACGTTTTGGTCATGTAGGATTGGAGTTCCCTCATCTTCCGCAGGTAGCGCTCTCGTCGCTACATTCGCGAAAATCTGAGATCCTGGATTAGAGTTCTAAATCCAGTAAGTTACGTCAGAAACGAAGAGAAATTCCCGGTAACTTATCGATAACTTCTCCAAAGCCTTTTTTATCGAGAAATTATGAGAATTTGAATTTTTCAACAGAGCGAACCTGAGGTTTCGATTAGCTATAGAGAAACATCGTAGAGGGCAATTTCCGTTGTACGTTCTCCGTAGGCAATCAAAACCTCCCATTCGCTTCGTCGCAGAATGAAATATCAGTTCGTTTGAAACAAATCGCATGGAATTTTCCGTGAAGTTGTACATACGTGAATATTTTTAGCTGGAGGTAATACCCTATAATCAATATTTTCTAATGGTAATTATTACTCTTTAGCTTGAACTTTGAAGTTGATTGAAAAAAAAAAGTTATTTAAACGAAGAAACCTAAAGTATAAATAAAAAAATTAACGTTCTCTTAAGTTCTCAATGTTCCCGGTAACTTACGGTATGTTTCACAGTTACCTTCTCCAATTTAATGTTACCGAGAATTTTCGAACTCTATCCTGGATCCCGATTCTGGGGTAATTTTCCGTGGAACCGATCATAGGCGTTGTGTCTTCTTATATTACTCCCTGGTTCTTGTGTTTCGGCGGTGGTCCACGTACCGGGACATAGCTGGGTCCATCCTCTTGGGTCGCACAGCTGAGATTCTCCGTACCTACGGCGCCGCGGACGATGTAGGCCACGGAGAGCAAGTTGTAGCACAGTGCCAGGAAGACGACCGGCCTCTCCGGGTAGCGGAACCTGGACGGCTCGACCCAGAACGTCAGAAGAGTGAAGAGGGTCGACAGAAAGCACAGCCATGCCCAGCCCGTCATCCAGCGTTCGGCGAATCTTTTGTCTTCCGCGCGATAATACGCATCCGCTCCGCAGCGGGGCGCGCACGTTATCTGAAAGGATATACATACGTCGATCATACCAGCGGACCCGATTAAGGGGATGTGAAAAGGGTCTCTTATGGAACTTTTCTCTGAACTGGTTGTATCGGATCGTTTGAAGCTTTACTACATGAATATTGAGGGCTTAAGGTGATATGAAAGAGTCGGCCTATATGTGCCCATAATTATGAAAGTGGTCTAAGTCATATATTTTTTGTTTCGAAATTACATTGAATTAATTTCGTTTGAAATAATATGGCGTGAAATAACTGATAAACTCATTTTTTTTTTAATTTTGATTTGGACCACTTTCATAATTATGGGCACATATATACCTGAGAAGTCAAATCGTTAGTGAAAGCATTTTCCGAAATGGGTGTGTCGATTCGTTTCAAATTTTACCACGGGAATATGGAAGCCTTAAAGTAGATCCTGAAACTCATGAAATGTTATTTTTGATTAAAAAAAAATGTATTTATTTGTCATGGACTAGAATCAACATTGTGTGGTCAGTGCACGTTTTCGTTATTTTATCTTTCTTGGAGACTTACAATTGAAAATGGAGAGTTTCAGGACCTAGCTCGAACAATTTAGAATACCGTTGAAATGGAATATTACGGAGTCAGATGGGAAAATATGGAAAATACTTTCACCAACGATTACAGGAGAATGCTGGCTTGTCTCAGGGCAAACGTGTGTTTTCAGAGCAATATTGTAGTTGCAGCTAAACGTCACAGATGGCGACGTTGGTCCTAAACAATCGTTAGAATAATGAATTCGCGGGATTTCGACAGTTATACATCGATCTATTCGTCATTACTTTACCGAAATGACATATGGAACACTTCAGTTTGTGCAATTATCAGCGTAGACTGTAAAACACTTCAACATAAATATAGATATCAATAACGTCACGCGCCTACTTATGTCACCACTTGAGTAATCAAAATGCTGTTACCACCAAAAAGGGTAATCATGAATTTTAATTGATGAATTATCGACCTCGATTAAATTTGCCTGTGATTAGGATATATATGAGATATATAAGATATATATTATATATATATAAGAAAGCAATATATATACTGTCTCTTTCATATCACCTTAAGGGGTTACACCACTTTGACCCACNTACCGGGTCACGAGATATCTCGTCAAAAGCGTTGATCGGCCAGTATCGGGTCGCGAGATATCTCGTCAAAAGCGTTAATCGGCTACTACCGGGTCACGAGATATCTCGTCAAAAGCGTTAATCGGCCAGTATTGGGTCGCGAGATATCTCGTCCAAGGTAACGAAAGGGTTAATGGAAATTTGAAAATCGGGCTTGGTAGTTTCGGTATCGACAGGGTCGAAGTCACGTCGAATTACCGTTTCAACGTAGGGAGTCTGGACGAAATGCGGCGGGCACTGGTGGTGCCGGTTGGCCCTGGTCTGCATCGGTTGTACCGGTTGCACCTCGTGCGCGGGAACCGCGGCCCGTTGCGGCTGGACAGGTGGCGCCACGTCCGGAAGGGCTTCCTCGGGCGGCGGCTGGACGCACAGCGTGTTCCCGTTGTCGGGGAACCGCTCGCAGTCCAGCATGTGTGGCCACGGCAGAGTGAGACTGGTCAGGGCCGGCTCGCAGTCCATCCTGACCGACAGGCAGAGCGGCTTGCACGCCGGAATCTGCATGGCCACGTACTCGGAGCAGACCGGCGCGAAGACGGCACACAGGAAGAACCTCAGGTGGCGGGAGCAGTTGTAATGGATCAGCGGCATGAAGGCGGCCAACTACAAGAAATATCACCGTAACCGTTATGGATCAGCGTTTTGATTAAATAAGTTTTTAAACTGAGAAAACTGAACGGTCGGAGTCAGACGAACACCATGGCAAAACGTGCCCGAGGTTCGTTATCCCTAAATATCGGTCTGGAACGAAATCCCGAAACAAAGAAACATTTTTAGTTTAGTAGACAGTACGCCCAGGAAAACGTTGAGATTTTCCGTAGGGGTAGGGCGTCATTGAGAGTATACGTGGTAGATTTTTTCTTTAATTTTTTTTGTTGCCAGTTGATGATATTATAAAGGTCTAAACCCACACAAAACGTTCACGTACCATATATGTAGTTCATATATGTATATGAGACGTAATAGGATATCTAATATACGTTATGTATGTACGGTATCATGCAAATCATGTACGGATTATACAGGGTGTCCCATAATAGATAGTATACTTCTTAAGGAGTGAAAGAGGGTGAAATTTTGAACTAGAAGTTCCTTTTCCATTTTTTCCTCAGAACATTTTTCATTGAGTTATTAGTAGTTAACGGCGTTCATCACCAAAGTGGGGACGATGACTTCCACCGCTAGATGGCATCAGCATCGAATTCGGTGGGAGGTAACCAAAACGTACTTTCTCGC